TGACCCTGTGGGTGGCACTGCGCTGCCTTGCCGACGGAGCCGGCCGGCGAGCAGAGGAGCCGGAAGACGACGCGTCCTCATCCTTGCCTGCCGCTCAGCGTCCCCTCGCTGTCTGCTGTTGGACTCGTCATCGGGAGCAGAGCAGAGCAGCGCAGAGGAGGAAGGAACTGGTGGCCCACTCCGGAGCTGCAGGGCCCCGCCCGGTTGGCTTCTATTTTGTTTATTTATATGCGTCACAACGTGAATTTTGTCCAATAGAAACATTTTCACCGCAAGGATCCTAGACGTCAACAAAATAAGCATAGTAAACCATACACAGTAGAGTAAGCATAATATGAAACTGAGGCATCGATCGGGACATAAAAATTTGTAACTTTCCTTGCAACAATATATAGAGCCACAAAACAGAGCTGTTGTAAGTCTATCAGAGTGGTCTATTAAAAGACCACATTCTTGATTGTACAATAAATAAAGCCTAGGAAAACAACAGACGGATAGATAGATAGATAGATCAACCTTACCATTCCTGTCTTCAAAAAATTCGTCACGACACAACTACAAGCAGTATGTCACAGAACAGAGTTGCTGACTCTACCTAGGATCCGATTCTGCTGGTGGTCCGTGATTGTTCTACCTTATACTGTTCAACAAGGTGATCATCATCGGCGACCTCCCATTGCCGACGGAGATGGGAGGGTAATAAACGATGTTGCTTTTCTGATCAAGATGAAACTATACAACGCCTCTTTCTCAAATGTTCTCTCACCATGTTTTTATGGCGTACGAGTCATGTAGTTTTTAATGTCTACCCTCCAAATAGTATTAACACGTTATTTGGGATATGGCTAAATGAAGTGGAGCCAAATACTGCGGGACATATTCGAATAGGAGTATGCGCATTACTTTGGGCTATATGGAACTTCAAAAATGACATGATTTTTAACACACAAACTCTTATAATTCTTTTGCAGGTCATATATAGAGGTACCTTTTGGATCCATACGTGATCATTACTCAGTCATGCGGTAGTCAAGGAGCTTATGGCTTGGTGCAACCGTTTGGAGACGGTAGCACATGATCCTTACAACAGGTTTGCATGGTGTTCCAATAATAGGATAGATGTTTAGTCATCTTGACCCTTTTTTTGCCGGTTGTGGCAACTTTTATATTCAATTTACTTTGGCTCCTCGGTGAGCTTGTACCAAATCACAGACCTTTTGAACCGTTTGCTTAATAATATGGCTGCATGGATCATTTTAGTGCAGTGGCCGGGGTGACCCTCCTTTTAAAAAAATGTAAAAAGGAAAAGAAGAAGGAAAAAATAGTGCCATGTAGGCCGAACACGGTAAAGAGTACTGTCTTTGCCATGGGCACCCGTCTTTCTGAGTTTTTTTTTCTCCCACTCGGTTTCATTTACTTTTGTGAGTGCCCGGATAAAATAAACTCAGCAAACACCCGGACACTCGGCAAAGGTTCATCCTGATAGTGAAAAATGGATCAGTGAAGATAAATGTGAAGATAGATGAATGATAAATAAGAAAGGTTGTGTCGGGCATGGAGCCTAGCAATGGAACCTATTGTCTTATACTTTAGTGCATTACGATGTTATAATAAATCCGCCTTATCCAAACCATCTTTCGAGCACGTCTGTCATGTGTGTGCTTTTGCGGTTTGTTTAAACAACCATACAATATGGATTTCGCTACAAATTAAGCATCAGATTTGTTAACATGACAAATCAAACTTTTTTATAATAAATTATATTGTCGCAGGAACGGCAACTTTTAGCAAGCACGACAAATCCTTGTCATGTTCAGTTTTGGCCAGGATTTTCCATGCTTACTAAAGAAAATTGCCCTCGTTGCCGCATTATAATTTGCACAAAAAACATTCAATTTGTCATGGTTAAAAATCTGATGTTGGAGTTTTAACATCACCGTACAATATATAAGTTGCCCCCATACCTACTTGCAAATAAACTGACAATAGAAGTCATCTCCAATGGCGTCCAATCATCTTAATTATTTATGTATGCTCAAGCATGACGCATAAACTCTCGTAACCTGATAATAAACCGCAGGTACTAGCTAGGTAGCATAAATCTCAGATTACGATGATGGATGGACCTAGTCTGATGATGATGTGTTCCAGGCAAAACGATTTGATGGATCACCAGAGCAGAAGGCAGAAGCAACTCATCGACGATCCTCTCTCCTTCTGGGTTTCCATGGTGCCGTTGAATGAGCATACCAGTGACGAGGCTGATGATGGGGGCGGTCAGGCAGACGACCGGGGCAAGGAGGAGCGTCAGCGCAAGGACCTTGAGGTCGTTAGCATTGCGGTCGTCGATGGAGGGCCACGAAATCACGAGGAAGATGGCGATGGAGAAGAGCGCGATGACGGTGCAGCCCAAGAGGAATATCACCGCCGACCGGCTGCACTCCTCGGGCTCTGCCGCCGCCAGCAGCTGCTGCTGCTCGGCGTCGGCCATCGTCCACCCGCGTTTACTTTTTTCTTTTTTTATCTTTATATAAGGATAAGGATCACCTGCGTACATATATAGATATGTCTGTATGCAGCTACCTGGCTAGGGTTTGATTTAATATTCGATCTGAAAGAGTACGTTCTACAAGATTATTCAGGGCAACGCTGACTCAATCTGGGACACGGTATCCGTCCATGGACCGGCGGAATCGCTAAATGCAGGAGCCAGCCTTACAACCGTAGTCGCAGCAAACCGGATGATTTTCACATAAACCAAAGCAATTTCATTACATTTTTGATATATTCCATTAAAAAAAAGACTGGACCTAAACCTAGCTTACGGCGGCGCCTATCCTACTTGTCCTTGTTGTTCCCTTCCTACGATCGCCGGATCCATCTCGCCATCTCCATGAGTGGCAGGAATAACACCCGTGAACAATACTACCATCATTCTTTCCTCAGATGATGCCCGTCAGGCCCGGTCATATTTCATCGTCAGGGTAAATTCCAAACTCAGGCCCGGTGAATGTACAGTTCTCCCACTGCTTGATTGAAAAGCAGAGCTCCTGCTAATTATTTCAATCAAAAAACTCTGCATCTGCATGCAAAGAAAGAAAGAAACCCACAGCCAATCTTTGCATCGTTGAAAACTAATTAAGCAGCTCTGTTTTTGTGTTCGAGCAACAACGCTTGGGGAAATTTGAAGAAAACAGCCCCCAAATCCGTTTTTGGTTTTTTACACATTGACACCGTAACAAGAAGAAACACACCAACAACATGAATGAGCAGCGGAGAAGCGCACCGGCAATGAAGGGAGGGAGCCACATCTCACCCTGAATTTTCATTAGCTGTACTACTACTACATGTTCTTTTCCCCGACAGCGAGCAGTACTACACGTTGGCAACACATATTGGCTGTGATGTCGAGCAACTGGTCAAGGATGATCTGGTGACACAACTCCTGCCCCTCGTCATATGTTAGCTAGCTAGACCTGACAGTCAGAGTAAATAACAGAGCACGTTCAGTGTAACTGTAACCAGAAGGAAAGGAACGCCGTTATAACTCCGAGACGTAAATAACGGATGATGATGGCAATGAAAATATACATAGAATGTCTAATAACATGTGGTGTCCGACCACAAATCATCTTCTCCTTGCCTCTTTTATGAATGAATGTGCACTTCAAAAGAGAAAATTTCACAGGTTCGCCGACTGCATGATGAAGGCCTGATGGCGAAATTGGATTGGAATTGGATGGTTCTGCTCTGCGCCCAGTCCATACACCACTACCACCTTGGTCATCTTCCCTCCAGAGATTGTGCTACCAAGTAGTAGTATCGGACACAAGATCCTACAGTCGATGGCCAAGAATCAGCTCATCATTTGAAGAGCATCCTGAGCTGATAGATGGCTCCAAGTGCAGTAATTAAATGGTGCTCCTCTCCTCTGCTCTCCTATCTGGTGATGATGACATTCTGGGGAACTTCACTGCCTTACTTTGGTGAATTCAGAGTTGTTGGATGCACGGTCAAGGGTGGTGTCATGTCACGATAAACGCTGGGTGTCGATTTCTTCAGTTAACAACATAACAAGTGTCAATTTCTTGACAAGATGATGCAGCCAGCCTGGTTGTTCTCCTGACAAGGAGATGTGCAAGTAATTGGCCTTGTTCTGCATCTGCATGCCAGTCACGGTCAGAATAGTTTGCGTGTGTTTTTTCCTTGTGCGGGGCATGTGTCACATTGAGATGTGGTGTTTGAATGCAAAGAAAGAAAGAAAGAAAGAGCTCTGAACAGCTATAAATTTCCTGCATCTCATAAAAGATCAAATTTCTCCGAATGCAAATAACTAAATAAATAAATCTCTAGCCAGCCATTGCATCGTCGAAATTATTTAAGCTCTGTTTTGTGATGCAGAACAACAGTTCATAATAAGGAAAAAAACGGCCGGGGAAATCAAAGAAAACATGAGCACGAGCTTTGGCAGATGTTCAAATCCATAGAACTGCAGCAACAATCAACAAAGGCAGCGACAGACAAGCTTCCAGCAGATACTACTCCGAATAAGCAAGCAAGCAAGCATATCCATCGGGTTTGTATGCTTGAGAAGCAGGGGAGATGAGCAGAGCACCATTTGCCAAATAGCTGCAGACTATGCTCCTGCTTAGCCTAGCCAATGTATCCGCTTCCTTAGCATGGATCCAGCAAGCATATTGCATCTCTATCTGCATAACTCTTACTCCGCAGACTTGTTGCAACTTAATTCACCACCTTCCCTGGCGCCGACTCTGAAACATTTCGCAGCCAGTTATAATTGATACGTATAAGCTATCTCTCCAGTGCAGTGCATTATTTTGAACCTAGCACAATTCTTACAAGGAAACTGTATCTTGGTATGGCCTCGTGACTGCAACCTGAGATTCTTCATGACATTCCTCTCAACAGCGAGCCAAGAAGTGCTATATGCCAATGTCAGCATCGTGGAGAGCCACTTAGCATGGCTTCATATATTCCACTTAGCATGGGCTGCGATTTTGCTGCTTCTTCCTTAGCATGGCTTCATATATTCCACGGAATATTCCTTGTGCCTTAGCAATTTCACCCTCCTTGGCGGCTGACTCTGAAATGTTTTCAAGTCAATTAACCTGATAATTAACAACATGTAGCTATCTTGCAGAGTTGCACTTCACTGGGGCCTGCTCGATGACTCCAGAATAATCCCTACCTACCTTTGCAGTGCAAGTTTTCCATAATAAGCTGCATCTTCTGGAAATAATAATAAGCCATTCACTTATGGCTTGTTTGTCTGCACAGAGGGGTCACTTGTTAGTTAGTACAGGAAGCATCATCCCTCCATGCCACTAAAATGAAGCAGATCTGAATATTTAAACTTGAACATGATACTTTTCTTGCACAAACCTGACCCTCGAAAAATCTTTCTGCAACAACAACTTCACAATGTGCCTTAGGGGATGCTATTGGCAACGGCTGCAGCAATTCTTGGGTGACCAGTGTGCGCTTAGAGGGATTTGGTTGGTACACGTCCGAGGAAGAATAGAATGAGGGGCAAGGTATCAAGGATGTCACGAGGAACAGTTGAAAGTAGCTAAAACTGCATCCACCGACCAGCACCATTCGTGTGTGGCTATTGCAGTGGAAGAAGACTGCCTCAGTCAACCACACCTTTCCCTCAACTCAATCTGTTGCTTCCGAGGAGATTGATCTATAAAGCAAAGGAAACATCATAACTGAGATTAGCTAGTGATAGTACATGCATGTCTGACTGAATTAGGTAAAAATATATCAGGACAAGGTATTTACAGTACCATCACTAGATAGGCAGGTTTCACATGTAAATAGTTGGGGGCAGGGCACCAAGTAAATTCCCGGCATTAATCGACATCCTGATTCACTGTTAATAAAGGTAATTTACACAGTAAATGTTACATCCTGATTCATAAATAGGCTGCAATTATGCACCTTAGTGCCATAGTGGAATTTTACAATTTCGAAATTGTACATGACCTGCAATGCATTACCTATTTGCCTTGAGACTGCTACTACTGCGGTATTGCCTATGATCCTATACGCCACTAAATTTCGTTAAACAACAACAGTATGACAGATGCAAGAAAACCTGGTATTAGTAAACGTAGACTGAACTGAAAAACTGCAAACCTATCAGTTGCAAGCATACCTGGATGGCAAAACTGCAAACATGATCAGCAGCAAAACACTGACAAGTCATTGTTTTCCATAACTATGCCAAATGATCCTTGGTCCCTAAAACTGAAGATTTTCCAGGCATACCTTCAGTCTTCATGAGTTTTGGACAAAATGTAAACATAAGTGGCTTGAAAGCCCACCAAACAAACATAAGAACACCTGAACAGCAAGCCAACAGAAATTAGAAATGCAATAACACTTGGTACTGACAGCAACATAGCAGTATATGAAAAGAAAAAAATCACTTTAATATCAGTAGCTTGACCCGAAGTCTCAATTGTTCCATACTGATGTCCTACTGCTGATTTGATCGTGACACCCAAAATAGGGGAGCAGACTGCCACGTCTTGATGAATAACAATAACCCAAATTTAAATGCAAGATATGAAGAAGCCTATAAGATCGAACAAACACCTGCACACATAACAAAAACAAATGGTGATCACAGGTTTTGTTGGAAGAAAATAAGAAAGCTTTGCAGAAGGCATTGGCTGATAATGATGTCGATTTTATCGATTTGTGGAAAGAAAAGGGGCGTCGAGAAACAAATCTGATATGGCAGGAGTAAGAGTGGATTTTTGTTTTTTTGCGGTGAGTATAAGTTGAAGTGTATATAACTGATATTGGTGTAGACACCCCTAATGAAGGTTCCTGCAGCTAATTTGCATGTAATGGCTCTGCCTGAAATTAGAACCAAGAGGGAGCCCAGTTATAGTTCAGTTCAGGAATATTTTATTTTCTGCTTCTCCTCTCACATCTACTTTGCTTCCATCAAATTATCAATTTTATCTAATTTCTGGTTGCTAGATAGATCAACCTCTCCTAGTTCATACACTTCACCAAAAATCCCCAAATATTGCTGTTATTAGTGTGTGGTGAACGATCAGGGCCAATCAGCACACGTTGTGTCTTATCAGATATAGTAGAGCAGGAGTAAAGTTCCAGTTTAGATGTACTTACCAGATTTAAGTACAGGAAAAGGAAGACCACAGCCCTTGTGTCATGCATGTGTTTGAATGGGAAGGGAAGAGCTCTACAAGGCTAGAAGAATGTACATGGAACTCCAAGGCATTGTCCTGCACCGTGGATGGGAACAAACACAGAGTTATTAAGCGAGGTTGCAGGCAAAGGGCAAAGTGGAAAAGCACAAGAAAAAAATGGTTGTGTTACCTTGGATCATATTATTATGATATCTGGGATGGTTCCCTCCAACCCCCTGCACTGCTGTTTTAGCTCTTCGCTGCAGTTGTAGACATCTAGCATTTCCAGTGAATCCGGGAGGGCATCGTTGGGCAACGACGAGATGGCTGGACAGCAGTTGACTAATAATATCTTGAGGCTGGTAAGTTTACGCAGCCCTGCAGGGAGTTGTTGAAGGTCCTTGAAACTCCAAAACTCTAGTTTCTGGAGGGAGGAGAGGAGTTGAAGGGCGTCCTCTTGCTCCTTGCTGAACAGCTCCATCCCTTCACACAAATCCCCCCAAAGTTGCAGCTTGGTGAGGGAGGAAGAGAGGAATGTGCAGACGGGTGCAGCAAGAAGTCCTGCTATGTCATCTGTCCAGAGCTCACGCAGTGTGGATGAAACAAGCTGTGTCTGCCACTCTTCACCTCCCTCAGCATCCTCCAAAGCCCGTCTGGGATTGGGATCCCAATCAGCAAAGAATCTATGGCTACCAGTGACTCTTAATTTGTTGAGCTGGCCCCCGGTGGTAAGGAGAGACCACAAGCCCTGACATTTCAGATCCTTTCCACAACGAATTAATTCTAATCTGGTGAGAGAGGAGAGGTTTGAGAGGGGCTCGAGTGTCTCCATGCCTTCCACACCTACAAGGCTCAGGAACTGCAGGGAGGAAGGAAAAAGGTGTCGGGAAAAGGAGAAGGTGGATAGCAACTTTGGGGCCCGCAATATTGTTAATCTCTGGAGGGATCGCAAAGCTTGGAACCCTCCTTCTCCAGGAACAAGAGTTGGCGGGTCCACCAGGACCAGCTCTGGGCAGTCATAGAACACCAATTCCCTTAGTGAGTCACAGAGATGAGCTGGGAAGAGCAGCACCCCGTCATCCTCTTCCTCTGCTGCTGCTGCTGCTGCTGTTATTTCACCTCCCCCCATCTCTGATGTTTCTTGTGTTGTTGGTTGCACATCCACCCCCACTACCAGCTTTTTTATGTTTTCACACTCAAATATTTCCAATTTGGAGAGCTTTGGGAGGTGGGGGAGGAGTTCTGTCAGTTCCTCGCCAGTATTACCATGTAAGTCGTTGATCTTTATATACTCAACAGGGAGCTTCCATTCCACATCACCCTGACCTCCTCCTTGTGATCCAACCAGACCATCTGAGTGTTTTACAATCAATGTCATCAGATTGGTTAGCCTCAGAAGGTGCTTCAACTCGAGAGGTGGGCATCTCTCAAGTGTCAGCTTCTCAAGACCTGTTTCTTTATTGGAAACTAACAGTTGGTATAAAATATGCAGATCATCCTTTCCCTTGATTCTCAATTCTGCTGGTCCAGATCTGGGAGCAAAGCAGAGGAGGCAGGAGTGGTTAGAGCAGAGTGATCGAGGTGCGCGCCAGAGGGGAGTCACGTTTCCCTCTGCATATATATATAATAATACTGATAGAGAAAGAATAGGCAGGATCAGGAGAAAGAACCGTACCTTTTAATGAACGACCGAGATGCCAGACCACGCATGTAATGATACACTTGTTTTAGAATTCCAGTTTGTTCACTTGATTTTGACATGGGTTGCCCTTGGGTCGGATGTTGTTTTTGTGCCTGACCACGCGCGTCCTGAGACTCTTGTTTTGGTTCTTCAGGGATCTCATGCTGTTTTTCAGCCGGAACATCCAGTTCCTCAACCATGTCTGCTCTTTCTATACTCACGTTAAGGTGCCTGCCCATGGCTTTCTTGAATGCGGACTCTGCAGCCTTCAAGTCACGTTCCACAGCACCGGCAGCTGACCCGATCATTCCTGAAATCTCCTTGACGTTTGACAGACCTTCAACTCCGACAAGCGAACCACCATACTCTTCTCCTCGGTGGGCATTGAAACCTAGTTTCAGCCTCTGAAGATTGGGCATTGTTCCTTTCTGAAACCTCAAGCAGAGCACACCACACCTGAACTCAAAATACTCGAGAGCAGAAAATGCTCCGGTGCCGAAGCCGATTGGTTCTGTAGTTCGTCTCTGGACATGCAATGAGAGAACAGTAAGGGATGGCAACCGTTGCACGATACTAATATGATCACTTTGCAATTCTCCGAGGACAAGTTTCAGAATGCATAGGTTGGCAAGCTGTTCAATCCACTTGGGGATTCTACAGATGGGTGACAGCAACTCCATTGTCATCACTGAATCATGAGGGCAGCTGGTGTCGTCCAATGAAATAGGAGGGTTTAGGCTGGTGACAATTTTGAGGGTACCAGTCAAATCAGGCACTTCTGTCCCAACTCCGAGACGGAGATGCAACCAGCTCCGGAGATGCACAATCCTGGCTGGAATAGCTGCCACCCTTGCATTTATTTCTAGTGTGTCCAAGTGCTTTGGACCTTGCATCAGATCCGGAAGATGTATGGTGTCGTTGCATGTAACCTGCAATGATCTCAGTAGAACCAGTTCAGAGGTGGGATTGAGGTCGACATCGGTGTTGCTTGGTTCATCAGCCCAAATATGGAGGATCAGGACTCGAAGAACCTTAAACTCCAAAATGGAAGAGTAGCAGCTCTTTAGTCCAATAAATGCAAGTGATCGAACTTGTGACAGTCCGATAATCTCTGGTCTAGTTGCATGTGTTGCACTGCCAAACTGAAGGGACAGACGACTAACCTTGTTAGAAAACCCCATTGTCCTTTGGGAATAATCTATTACCGTCATAAAATTCTCTTCTCTAGACTTTGATGTAATGAGATTGTGTACCATGGGGTGCACTGCATAGTAATATACCTCATTACTATAGCCCACTTCTATATGTTGGATCAGGCCCATATTGAGAAGCTTATCAAAATAGTTCCCAGCAACCTTCATTTTGTCCTCCTGTCTTGGCGCAAGGATGAAACTTTCAGCTACCCATTGCTTCACTATATCTTCCTTCAAGATTATATAGTTCTCTGGGTAGAAACTGAGATACAACAGACATGTCTGCAAATGACTGGGAAGACAGTTGTAGCAAAAATTGAGTACTTGTTTGAGTACCTCCACATGAGTTGTATTTGTTGGTAAAATGTTCTGTATTTGCTCCATGTGATGTATTGTATTTGCTTCCCCTTGGCTTGCTAGAACACTGGATATGCTAATAATTGCCAGTGGTAAACCAGCACATCTTCTTATTATCTCCTCCCACACTTTATCCAATTGGCGAGATTTTTCTTCTCCAGAGGCAAACACTCCTCTGATGAACAATTCTTCTGAGTGATTGACACTAAGAGGTTCCATCTTATAGATGGATTTGGACTGATAACGACAGCATGCAAGTGCAACATCCTTAATTTCAGTCGTTGTTATTATCCTGCTTCCATTACCCTCCGGGAAAGCCCGTCTAGCAACATCCCATACAGATGTAGCCCATAAATCATCGATTATAAGAAAGTATCTGCCAAATAAAAGTTTGCAGCATATATTAAACATACAATTCAGACAAAATAGAGAAATAATCATCAATTATAAGAAAGTGCATGTCATCGATCTGTAGCTGTCACACACAAAAGCCTTCTCAAACAAATCACACGCTCAATGTGAAGATTCCTAACAAAGTATAAATCATGTATTCTAGGATGTGTTTCTATATATCAAATCCGACGGAGCAAGTGAAATAACAGTTAAGATAAGAGTAAATAACTAGGCACGTAAAAGCGCAGGTCACTCAACTAGTTAATTATGAAGCTAGATTCGTTAATTAGAGAAACAAAAAGAAAATAGTTTATTCCCCTTCTAAGAGTGATAAAATTTTGATAATTAGATCGAATAATTATCAGATATGCATGTTATTGAGAGTGCAAAGGGCTAAGAAAAACCTTTTCCCTTGTAGATGCTGCCTGATGTCATGAATCAGCTCGTGCACCTCATTAGTGTCGGGTGGTTGGTGCGGACGAACTTGTGCGAGCATGCTCCTGAGGAACCTCCTGATGTCAGGTTTCTTGGCCGTCCGCACAAAGGCCCGGCAGCCAAAGTAGCCTCCAGGTTTGTGCTTATGCCATAGCTGTTTGGCGAGCGTGGTCTTGCCGATTCCCCCGACACCGACAATGGATGCCACCTTGAGCTCCTTATCATCATCGGTCAGCCACTGGTAGAGGGCATCAAACAGACCGTCATGAAGACCGACGACTGGCAGGTCTGGCCTCCTTCGGCCATCAACGATTGGGATCTGGAAATCAGTTGCAGCATTTGAACAGATGGGGATGCTTCCAAGCATACACCTATCGTACTGCTCATTGGCCTCCTTCACACGGGCCTTGAATCCAGACATCCTGGCGACCCAATCCGGCTCGGCAAGGTCGATGCAGTTTTCCATGTCATAGGATAGCTCGCGCACATCCTTCATCCAGATCGTGGCCTCTACGGGAGACTCTCGTGCCTCCGAGTGCAGCACCAGCCTGCTTGTGAGTTTCCACACCTCAAGCTTGAGTTCCACATCAAGGAGTGGATCCAGCTCCAGCTTCCCTGCAAGGTAGCCCATGGCACCCAGGGAAGCACTAACCAGAGGCAGTTCCATGTCTCTCGGACAGTGGTGGTAGCGTGTGTGCGGGGCTTTGAATTGGAAAGAAACAAAGAAGAGAGGGAGCAGAGAGAGCTTCAGGGAAGAGACGAGGTGCCTTCCCTTTTCCTGGATTTTTCCTGGCACCAATCTGTGCGGCCAGTATCTTCTCCCAGTTTATCATCTTGCCAGCATCTCCTAGCTCCCATCCTCAAAAAAAAAAAGAGCATATCCTAGCTCCCAGTCTCGACTCTTGACTCTGTTTGAGAGAGAAACGAGTGGCTCAACCGCACTGGTGAGAAGATAATGGTAGGGGGTGATGTACAGGGCGGGGCATTTTCTATGGACAAACATAATTGACAAGCGGTCCCATCTCAGAAAAGAAAAAAGAAAAAATAATGAAAACGAAAACAAGAGGTATCATGCCAAGTCCCTCTATGATCCCCGTCCAGCCATCCCTCTAGGCTTCCATCATCAAAGCAGTTGCAGTTGCCAGGCCACAGGGAGATGGAGGTGGCGGTGGTGGGCGCCGTGGTGGGCGCCGTGGTGACCAACCTCGTGTCCAAGCTCTCGGCGGTGATAGACAAGAGATTCAGCGAGTTCGGTGACCTTGAAGACGACATCAGGTATCTGAAAACCGAGCTCGCCATTATTGCTGCTAAAATCGACGACCAGCACAAGGGGCAGCAGCCTAGTGTCTTGCAGAACATATCCACCGCAGACATGCGCGATTTGGCATTCGACATCGAGGATTGCCTCGACCAGTTCCTTCCCTGTGCCGCGTGCAAGCGAGGGGCCGTGTCAAAAGGCGACTTAGTGGACTTTGCCATTCAGGTTGGGAAACTCAAGAAGCGGCTGGAGAGGGCCAAGCAGCAGAGAACCGATAATGGTGCCAACGGCAGCCAGCAAGCCATCGACCTTGCTGACCAATTGCTTGCTATTCTAGCTGAGCCTGCAGATCAGGTGGGCATCGAGGAACCCAAGCAGGAGATCCTGGGTTTGCTCGGTAGTGAGAAGCTCCTGGTGATATCCATCGTCGGGTTTGGCGGCTCGGGCAAGACCCAACTCGCAAGGGCGGTGTTCGACTGCGATGAAGCCAAAGAGAAGTTCGGTGCCCGTGCCTGGCATACGGCATCGGAGCACAAAGATGGGCTTGAGCTCTTGCTCGCGATACTGCAGAAACTTTTTCCAAAAGAAACTCTACTATCCGTGTCACAAATGCAAAGTCAAGTCTCGAGGTTGCAACAACGTATCAGATTTGAAAAGACCAGGTGTGTCTGCTAACTTCTGAAAATAATTCATAAGTACCATCAATACCCGGAAATATATTTTTGCCGACATTTGCTTATATGAGAATATCAAAATTAGATGGATAACTTGCTTTGTAAAGGTTGCTCACTTTAACATAGGCCAAAGTGTAAAAATCACATCCAGCCGTAACAGCTAACAGATCAAGATCTACGTACATTTGTTTGTTGGTGAGCTTGTAACTACAGGATTTTTTTTCCTCTTAGCATTTGTTTAGTTTTTCTGTAAATTTTCCCAAAAGATAAAGAGTTTGACTTTTTGAGAATTAGTACAACTTACAAAAAGGAACCGAGGGAGTTTCTCCTATTCGTGAACGAAATATTCAAACGGGAGCTGGTACCTGTTTACTAGTGGGATAGTTGTTACTCACATAGCAATTCTAGACTTCTAGTCCATCACCATGAATTTCGAATCATGCAAATATTTAAATTCAAACAAGTGCTAGCCTATGGACACAAGTGCAGCTATGCAATTTCACATAATAATTAACGTTCTGTCAATTTACCTGGCTGCAGGTGTTTAATTGTAGTTGATGATATCGAGAAGCATCATTGGGAAGCAATAAAGAGTTTCTTTTCTGAGACAAGGATAATCAGAATACTAGTGACCACAACTGTGCAGACAGTAGCCAAAGCATGCACCAAAGATCACGGTTATATTTACAATATGAGAACTCTTAGTGTAGGAGACTCTAAGGATTTACTAAAGAAGTGGGTTGGTGATTTCAATAGAAATTCAACTGACTTGGAGGATGGTTCAGCTGCAATTGTTCGCAAATGCCATGGCCATCCACTAGCTCTCATCAGTGTGGCCAACTATTTGTTACAACAAGAGCAGATTACAGGAGCAGTCTGCCAAAATACCAGCAGGCTCCTATGTACTCATATGGACGAGAACAAGCATGGAGACTTCACAAAACTTCGACAGATTCTGGTGAATAATTATATCAATTTGCCTTTCCATCTCAAGACATGTTTGCTGTACACAAGTTTATTCCCAAATGATCGTCCTGTCAGCACGAAAACTCTTACCAGCCGATGGTTAGCCGAAGGATACATAAAGCGTGAGACTGAACGCACTTACCAGGAGTCTGCCGATGAAAAGTTGGAGCAACTGATGGACAGGAATATCATTCGGCCGGTCGATACAAGCAACCGTGGAGAAAAGAAGACATGCAAACCTCACGGTATCATGCACCAGTTCATGCTGTATAAGTCCATCTCTTCGAATTTTGTTGCCCCATCCCTTGAGAACCGAGGCAATTTTCGTCACATCATGATGGATAACCAAAGAAATAGAAGAGAAACCAACATGGATCATGGTGCCGCCGGTCCAGCTGCACATCGCCCCAACCAACCAAAAAACTTCTTTAGGTTCTTGAAACCATCTAAGAGTACAGTATCCAGTGAGGACCTGCGTCCCCGGTCTCTAACAGTCTTTGGAAGTGCAGAAGAAGCTGTTTATTCGGATTTGATCAACTGTAAGCTGCTGAAAGTGTTGGATCTAAAAGAGTGCAATAATTTGCGGGACAAACATATCAAGAACATATACAAGCTGTTGCATCTCAAATATCTGACCCTCGGGAGCTCTGTTAGGAGACTTTCAGATGAAATAGGAAATCTACATTGTTTGGAGACACTCGACTTGAGGAAGACCAAGATAGAAACACTACCTGTGGAAGTCATCAGTCTGCCCCACCTAGCACACCTGTTCGGAAAGATTAAGCTTAACAAGTTGAGTAGAAAGAAGCTTGACAAGTTACTGTCAGGAGAATGCAACTTGGAGACTCTATCAGGAGTTGTTGTGGAAAGGAACTCCCCATTCCCTGAATTGATGGAACGTATGAAAAAACTGACAAAGGTGAAGATATGGTGCGTGATTACCAGCACAGATGGGAATTACACCAAACTCTCAGATGCCATTCGCAAGTTTGCTCAGGCTGGCATGGATACTTCACAAGACGCCCGTTCTCTATCACTTCATCTTAATGGTTCTTCCAAAGATCTAGTTCAGCTCAGCACGACATCAAGACAGGCTGGGTCAGCTCCCCTGGTTTTTTATCTTAGCTCACTGAAACTGCACGGCAGGCTGAGTCACTTCAAAGAGTTTGCTAAGGCCCTGTCTGGTCTCAGGGAATTGTGCCTTACATGTACTAATCTGGAGGGGCCTGTTCTTCTAGCATGTCTACGTGAGCTATGGTGCCTGGTTTATCTCAAACTGGTTGAAGACCGTCTTGATGATTTAGACATAAACCTTGATGGTGATCTCGCAAGCCTGCAACGCCTATGCATTGTGGTGAAACAATCCAAATTCCCCACAATTGCACAAGGAGCTTTGCCAGGTCTCGTTTCACTTCACATGCTCTGCAAAGATCTAGTGGGTCTTTGTGATGACATCAAAGTGGAATGTTTCAGAGATCTTCGTGAAGTCGCTCTGGACTCTGAGGTCAATCAAGGAACCATTGAACTCTGGGAAAATAAAGCTAAGGAGCACCCTAAGAGGCCAAAGGTTCTGTTGCTCAAAAGGGTTGAGGCAGCCGACACCTGGTCTGCGGCGAAATATGTTGCCACTGATCAGAGACCCTCCATGCTTCTGGTGCAGGGGACGCCGTGATCCCTTCTTCTGTATGCCAAGGTCAGGATCCTGTTCCTATGTCTAGGTTGCAAGTTCATTTTGCTTTTGCTTCCCTGTGTTGTAAATAAAAGAGAACAATGCAAAAGAAGAGGGAAAAGTGCTTCTGAAGCAGTATTACTGTTTGTTGTATTGAGAATTGTTACGATTGATGGTCATAATCGTGGTTGAAAGGTGGTAACATAATATATCCAGTTTGATTGCAGAAGATGCTGAAGTGAAGATTGCTATGTGGTGCTACTTCTAAGTTGATGGTTTGAAGATAAAATAAAAGGAGGATGACTGAAGCAAACAAGCGCGCGTCTGCCAGAGCACCTCGTGGTCTCCGTGGAACGAGCCTGGTGGGAATAAACACAAGCACCTGCAGGGCGCGGGCAGAGCAGACGAGAGCTGACCTCCTTGTGAGTGGCGCTTGCTTCCAGCCGACGGAGGAGAGGGCGGCGGAGCAATCATGCCGGCTGGGGAGCAGAGCAGCTTGAATACGAGGCGTCTTCGTCCTTGCCCGCCGTCAGTCTCCTCGGCGCCGCCGCCCCCCCGTGGTCGGGAGCAGAGAAGAGCAGAGGAGGAAGGAATAGTGTGTGCGATAGTGGGCCATTTCGGTGATGTTACTGTTCAAGGGCCAGGGTACATGGGCCTGGCCGGCTGGTCCCATTTTCCCCTTGTTAAAAACAATTAAAGGACTCAATTCAAAATTCGAAGTTTAAAAAAATCAATATTCTCACCAACCAACATACACACTGAAAATTGATTTCAGAAAAAAACATACACACTGAAAAAAAAACAGCGAATCATAAGGAAAATAAAAAACTTATGTTGCAACACACAATTTAAATTTTAAAAAACAGTAATATATATAGTTTATAAGGAAAATATTATAATTAACATTTAGCCATATTGGTATGTGGTCACCTACGTCGGCTAAATAATACATAGAAAACATAATCATTAAGACTGTATTGTGGTAAAATATGTTAAAATGGTATAGAACTTTAGTATAAATTATGTTAACTTGCCTTGATCAAATATTTGTTTGGGCCGGCTATGCATGTGCATGCTTTCTATCTTAGCATAAGTAAACCAAGCCATGGTACCTTATACAAGCCGGAGCATGGACCCTAGGGCGCCGCCACGGCATGACCCACCAAGACCATCGGCAATACCCGCCCTCCAAATGTATCGTGATGCGCCTCTATTAATACTTACTCGATTCAAATTATAAGCCGCATTTTGTTTGGATAACACAAAGCAATGTTAGTATTAGTATAACAGTTATCATACACATGCAAATAAGATCAAGTCGCCCGAATCGTCTTGTCATAGTCCATAATGATCATCCACGTGTTTATATGTATGTTTTCATCCCACATTTCTCGACCCATGCCACCTCTAGTGCACCTTCCTCTTTTTTTTCCTTTCATAAATTCATTTTTATTTACAAAGTAGAAAATAATATATTTTTTGTTAAAAGGACCCGAATCTATTATAAAGGTTCAGTAAAAGAACAAAATACCTCAAACATAACAAAAGCTACATCGAGGCCAGTGGAACAACAAACAACACTAGGGCGGAAGAACGAGTTGTCAACGCGTTGTTATCACCGCTCCCCTATCGAAGCGACTAATGCCTTGGAGTCCATAAAAAAATTGTCAAAATTCCAAAAGGAGTCCGTGCTTTTTCAAAAAATGTTCATCGTTTTCAACAAAAATGTTTAGGAAATCAAAAAATGTTCCTGGATTAAATAAACTGTTCATGATTATGAAAAAGTTTTCATGTATTAAAAAAATGTTTGGGAATTTGACAAATATTCACGAATTCAAAAAATGTTTGTAATTTTGGAAAACAGATTTGGGAAATCAAAACATATTCATGATTTTGAAAAAAAATGTCTGGATATTCAAAACATGTACGTGAATTCAAAAACTATTCATGATTTTGAAAAAAAAATATTCGGGAAATCAGAAAATATGTGTGATTTTGAAAAAATGATCGTTTAATAAAAAATATTCATGATTTGGGAAATATTTCGGAAAATCATAAAATGTCCACGGATTGAAAAATTGTTTGTAATTTCAGAAAAATATTGGTGTATTCAAAAAATATTCACGAAATGCAAAACATGTTCAAAATTTCAAAATTGTTAACAGTTTCATTTTTGTTTTTCTGAATATTCGGAACATGTTTGAAAAAAATTAAATAAAAAGGAAAAACAGAAAAGAGAAAAACGAAATAAAGATAAAATAAAAAAATCATCGCTTGTTGATCTCCAGAAAGGCGTCCCACCAGACCAGCCCGAGAAGTTGGGAGTAGTCCAGCGAATGTTATTGATCGCTCTTAAGTACAGTGGCCAAATCGCTCTTAAGGACGATCGATAAAATGGGTCTTCACTCTTGAGAGAAACGAACTGCCAAATTCAGACCCAGGACACAAGCCCTTCTGTAGACTGACAGAGCTTCTGCTGCCTGTTTCTCCCTTGGCAATAGCATACACCACACCACACCGTCATGTTGGCCGCGTGCGCATCATGGAACCTGCTTGCCGCCCTGAAAGCCTGCGGCATTGACATCGAACCGGACTTAATTGGCGCAAATTAAGGGGCAGGGCTCTTTCCTTTGCACATCAAAGGTGAGCAGAGCACTGCCATCCCATCCATGTTCAGCAGCACATTTACATTTACATAGCTCTGACTGTCTGTAACAAGTTGTCTGTCCGAAGATTCTGGCTAGCAGCAGCAATAGAAGAAGCCCGCTGTAATGTAATGCAACTCATACTCCATCATCAGGTAAATTCCAAACTCTGCGTCTAATACATACCCCATGATATACCTAGTTATAAATTTTCTGTACGCAAAGAAGAAATAAAATCTTCAGCCAACCTTTGCATTGCTGAAACTAACTAAGCTCTGGTTTTTCGATCGAGCCACAACCAACGCTAGGGGAAATCAAAGGAAACAGGCCCCAGATCCATTAATTCTTACACACAATGTCACCGTAACAACTAACAAGAAGAAACACACCAACATAAAAGAATGAGCTGCAGAGAAACACACCGGCAACAACGATGCATGGGAGGCACATCTTCCACCAGACACGTAGTATGATCAAAAAGCACATCAAAATTCTGAAGAGACAATATACTCCAACCAATCATCCCTGCCCCTTTAGGGAAGTACGTACAATCAATAAGCCTGCAATAGATGATCTGGTTCAACTACACTGCAATAGTTAGTTCATTCTTCCTATGCAAAAAAACATACTCCCTCCGTCCGAAAATACTTGTCATCAAAATGGATAAAAAGGGATGTATTTAGAACTAAAATACATCTAGATACATCCCCTTTTATTCATTTTGATGACAACTATTTCCGGACGGAGGGAGTACATTACAATGCTCAACAAACAACAAATTTAACTATGGCCCAGAAGCAGGTGTGTATGGATTAGCACAGTGGGCATGGGCCCCAGGGCTGGCGTTCTCCAGCCACGAACAAGGCACATCCGGCACGCAACGGCGTCCAGGGCTCTCAGGTAGATCCGGGGTTTTATACCCATTACAGCCAACCAAAGGTAACTTTATTTTTTTATCGCTAAAGTAAAGCAGGTAAATTCAACAGCTCCAGTCTTCTTGTAACTCCGGGCGAAGCGGTAAGTTGCCGTTAGATGAAGATTGGACGGCCGAGATGATCCCGCCCGGTTCGGCGCCAACCAACCGCAGGGTGTTGATTTCTTCAGTTAACTGCATGACAAGTGTCGATTTCGTCAGAGGATGATGCAGTCTGGTTCCTGACAAGGATATGTGCAACCAACATGTTTCTGATGGTCAGGGTTCAGAATATTTTGTACTACACTAATACCGAATGACCGAAACACTAACCATCGCACGCACGGTATGAATGTGAGTGATGTACTCATCGCAGCAATTTCTGAGTGACATCACAACACCTGCAAAATTCAACAAGTCATTCAGTTATAGCTGATTATAGTACACATAATGCCCCTCTACTCAGAGCAGACACGCATAATCTCCTTCTCACCTTTGCAGTGCCAGTTTTGGGCGATAAAAGACTTCCCTCAATTATCACTTCCGACGTCTTCTCATCGCCAAATAAAGCCAAGAAACGGCTTACAAATCCCCCAGGATTATGACTCTGGTGAAGGAAGAATGGCTGATTTCAGTGGCCTGCCAGATATCTTGGGCACAGCGGGCACAGGGCCTGACAAAGCAGAAGTAAAGGATACGTGTTCAGGGTCAGGGTCAAAAATACGTCGCAATGCATTACTAACACTGAATGAAGGACAATACTAAGCATTGCTCCAATTTAAGTCAGTCTGAGCGACTGTCACGAGGCGACGGGCTTTAGATATACTCCCTCCGTCCGGAAATACTTGTCATCAAAATGAATAAAAGGGGATGTATCTAGATGTATTTTAGTTCTAGATGCACCCATTTTTGTCCATTTTGATGACAAGTATTTTCGGACGGAGGGAGTACATACCTAGTTGCAGGCCACGTTTCTGCGAGCCTGGCCAATGTGTCCATTTGCTGCTTCTTCCTTGGCATGGTTCCTGTGAGCATACCACATCTCTATATATCTGCATGACCATTACTGTGTGGATTGCTGCAAGCCAATCCATCACCCACCTCCGCAGCCGTTTCTGAAATGTTTTGAAGTCAGTTAACCTCCCACGAGCTAGTGTACGTCTTGCAGTTCACAGCCTTCTTACCTCGCATGGATGAACATTTCTGGTGTGTTCCTTCCAGTGCCCTCAACTGTTCAGCGGCATCTAGACCTTCTGCAGTTACTCACGCCTGTCCTGCAGTTAAACACATGCAGTTTCAACAACAGAAGCTACATCATGATCATGAAAACTGGTGACAAAACGAGTAGTACTATGAACTTTGAATAGCTCAAGAAACATACCTGATTCAGGACTCCAAGACTACCCAACTTCGGCCCATTTCCTGTCAGCTTCACATATGAGATTTTATAATCAAACTATTAGCTGCTTCCTTCTCCCAGTGCAATTCATCTGTATGAAGTTTGGGGAACGGCTGAAACTGCATCCACCAAGCAGCACCATTCTTGCGTGTGGCAGAAGACTGCCTCAGTCAACCACAACGTTCCCCAAACTCAGTATGTTGCTTCCAAGGAGATTGATCTACAAACCGAAGCACCATCACTAGTTATGCAAGTTTAACATTTAAACAGTCAGGGGCAGCAAATAAATCCCAGGAATCACATGAAAAAAGTAATAACACAACTTGAAATAGACCAAAGTAGTGCTTAAAAAATGACTCTGGTTCAGGGAGCAAAACATTATCTGACAGCGCTTACTACTCCCTCCGTTCCTAAATATAAGTCTTTGTAGAGATTTCACTAGATGAACTACATACGGAGCAAAATGAATGAATCTACACTTAAAATACATCCATATACATCCGTATGTGGTTTCTAGTGGAATCTCTACAAAGACTTATACTTAGGAACAGAGGAAGTAGAATGACAAGAGAAAATGACAAACTTGACATTCCATTTAATGTTATACCAATATGCTATGGACAGCATGATAAACTAGTTTTCACTATTAATAGATCCTAAAAGATAATGTCATTGGCTGGGGGACAAAGCATTCTTTTGAGACGAATAAATACATTTTTGACTTGTGTTTACTTCAGTGAGGAAAGAAAATGAAAACCTAATAAAGGTGATTTACTTATAGTAAATGTTATACTGAGATCGAACAACATAATAAGCTAGTGTCAATTATGACTGAGTTTCAAAACTGCACATGACCTTCAATGCATTACCAGTAATGTAACATGTTGCACACATTCAGACTTCCAGCACGAATATGCATTACCTGTGCTGTAAAGTGTTGCAGACTATTCTTGTGAAGATCTTATACACCATCAAATCTTCATGGGCTTTGGACAAAATGTAAACACAAGTAGCTACAAGCCTACCAAAAAAAATACATGAACACCTGAATGACAAGGCAATAGAAATTAGGAATGTAAGAACACTTGGTACTGACAGCAATGTAGTAGTGTAAGAAAAAAACTGATAACCTCAATATCAGTAGCTCAATCCCAAAGCCTCATTTATTCCATCACTATGCCATAGTGATACTTTGATTGTGACACCCAAAATAGGGAAGTCGACTACCACGTCTTGATGAATGACAATAACCCAAATTTAAATGCAGAATATGAAGAAGACTATAAAATCAAACAAACACCTGCACACAGACAACCATACCAAATGGTGATCACAGATTGTGTTGATAATTACATCTAAGAAAGAAAAAGAGACCTGTAGAAGGCATTTGCTGATAATTGTGTTGGATTCTCAATTTATGTTTTATTTTAGATGTACAGGAAAGAAAACGGCTGCCACAAGTCATGCATGTACCACAGATGTACTCACCAGATGTATGGAAAGAGCAGAGCAATACGAGGCTCGAAATTCCAAGGCATTGTCCTGCACAGTGGATGGGAACAAATCGAAGTGTTATTAAGCAGGATTGCAGGAAAAGGTCAAAGTGAAAAAACACAAGAAAGTATGTTTGTCCTACCTTGGGTCAGTCTATTTTGACATATAGGATGGTTTCCTCTAACCCCCTGCACTGCTCTTTCAGCTCAGCGTTGCAGCACCGAGAGACATCTAGCTCTACCAGGTCATCCGGGAGGCCATCGTTGGGCAACGACGAGACAGCTGGGCAGAAGCGGAGCAATAATTTGTCGAGACTGGTAAGCTTGTGCAGCCCTGCAGGGAGTTGCTGAAGACTGTGGAAACACAAAAACTTAAGTTGCTGGAGCGAGGAGAGGAGCTGAAGGGCGGCCTCTTGCTTCTTGCTGAAGCGCTTCATCCCTTCAGACCCTATCCCACCAAGTTCCAGCTTGGTGAGGGAGGAAGATAGGAAGCTGCAGATAGGTGCACTAAGAAGTCCCCTGGCATCATCCGTGCAGAGCTCCTGCAGTGTGGATGAAACAGGCTCCCGCCAGGGATTGGGAACCCAACCAGCAAAGAACCTATGGCTTCCAATGACTTGTAATTCCTTGAGCCGGCCACAGGCAAGGAGAAACTGCAAGCTGTGACATTTCAGATCCTCTCCGCAATACCACAATTCTAATCTGGTAAGAGAGAAGAGGTTCGAGAGGGGCTCCAGTGTCTCCATGCCTTTCACATCCGCAAGCTTCAGGAACCTCAGGGAGGAAGGAAAAATGTGATGGGAAAATGAGAAGGCGGATAGAAACCTTGGGGTGCCCTCTATTCTTAGTCTCTGGAGGGATCGGAAGGTTTCGAGCCATCCTCCTCCAGGAACGAGAGTTGGTGGGTCCACCAGTACCAGCTCTTGGGACTCGCAGATGACCAACTCCTGAAGTGAGTCAAAGAGATGAGCTGGGAAGAGCAGCACCCCTTCATCCTCTTCCTCTTCTGCTGCTCTTATTTCATCTTCATCCATCTCTGATTCAGCCGATGTTGTATGTCGCAAATCCACCCCCACTACCAAGTGTTTTATGTTTTTACAAAACCTTATGTCCAATTTGGAGAGATTTGGGAGGTGAGGGATGAGATCTGTCAATTCCTTCCCACTATTACCATTTAACTCCCACATCGTGATAATCTCAACTGGGAGCTGCCATTCCACATTCCTTGAGCGCGCTAAGCATCTTAGCGCCGGACCTCTTTCAAATGCTATAGCGTGCTATAGCGGAGCTATAGCGCGCTATTTAAAATGTTTGTTCATTTGTTTGGACCAAAGTCTCTTAGCGCAAGACCTTCTGTAAACGCTATAGCGTGCTATAGCGGAGCTATAGCGGGCTATTTGAAACAGTGGGTCCAACCAAACCATCTGATTTTCTTACAATGAATGTCTTTAGCGAGGTTAGCATCAAGAGGTGCTTCAACTCCAGAGGTGGGCACCTCTCGAGTTTCAGCTTCCCAAGACTAGTTTCTTTATCAAAAACTAACACTTGGTCGATGCTATGCAGATCACCCTCTCCGATAATTTCCAATTCTGCTCCATTGGATGATTTTGAGTACCCAAACTCCTTTAGCATCTTTATACATTTCATCTTGACAAAACAAAGACTTTCCATCCAGGAGATGGGAATCACTGGCAAGAATTCGGGACAGTCACATACCTCAAGCTCTTGTAGCTTGGGGAACCAATCTGGGGAAACAATGTGTTCTAAGAAAGGCAACCCCAATAGTTTCGGGCACTCCCGAATAATCAGAACTTGCAAAAGAGGGAACATATGAGCATCCGGTGGCAACAAGTCTCCACTAACGGAAGACTCTTGTTCAGCCGGGTAAACCCATTTTTCAAAACTTCCTAGGCCAATTAGTTCAAGCTTTATTAGCATGCAAAAGTTTTTCTCTATAGTAAACTCCTTCGGCTTGTAAATATGCTCCAATCTTAGTTGACGAAGATCCCATGCCTTCCCTAAAGAAGGGAAAACTCCCCAAGAAACACAATAAAGACTAAGAGATTGTAGAGCATCAACAACGAGCTCATCACCTAGCCATGTTGGGCAAGAAGGGTCTCCATGCCCTCTAATGCACAACATTTGAAGATCTCCATGCGGTCGAAGGTTCTCAAGAACCATTGCTTCCACACCAGGCTCAACAGTAGATCGATCACTATCCCAGTCCAATGTTAACTTCCTCAAGTAGTTTTTCTCTATCAGTTTTGCTTGAGCTGCTTCGTCTTTTGTATGCACTTTCTCCAGGTTGTAGATGCCAAGCTCCCTTAGCTTGGTCAAATGCTCTAGTTGCTTTAGTTCAAATACTTCACTCTTTTTATTGACCTGAAATACCTTCAACTCTTCCAAGAGTTTAAGTTTTCCCACATTATAAATATCAGAATGAAGATCCGCATCTCTTGGGGTATAATAATGGCACAATTTTGCAAGGTTGCTCATGTCTTCAGGAAAATCACAACTGCCATGCCATGACTTAAGATCTAGAACCCTTAAGTGATAAAATTTAAGGATGCTAAGTGGTAAATGCATCTGCCACTCATTTGTCCCTAGACATAGGAATCGTAGGTGGACAAGTCCTGAAAAGTTATGTAACATGGATTCCACGTGATATGTCATGTCAGGCAAATAAAGAACACGAAGAGCATTTGCTTCCCCCCAAATATCACCAAATATCTTGGCAAAACCTTTATCCATTTCTCCAAATAACATCAATGTTTGCAAATGTTCAACCTTCAATGATGTCTTCAATTTTTCCAATTCACTCTTAATGTTTTGAGAAGACACTACATTATATTCACCCAAGTTCTCTGTGCGTATGGACAAGTGGTGGGTGGATGGCTGAATATCTACTGACCCAACATCAGAGAAATGTAAACTAAGACAATCATGCGATGCAACCTTCAATGCCAAATCATGCAATAGGTCATGCATAACATAGTGCAGACCATCACTGGTTTCCTCTTCTCTGAAAAATCCATGGATAACTAGCTCATTTAAATTACTCAAACCTATATCTTGAACAACTTGGTTTTGGCCACCGGGTATCAAAATATCTAGTCCGATCCACAGGTTGATGAGCTCGTGGCTTCTGAAACGATAATCTTCAGGAAACAATGCAGAATAGGAAAAGCATTGTTTCAAATAAAAAGGGAGAAAGTCATAGCTAAGCTTCAAGGCAGGCATAATTTCATTGTCATCAGTTTGCTTCTCCCATTCCTTACTTTTTAGGACCCTTTTCCAATGACGCAAACTAAGTTCTTTACTCAGTAATCTACCAACAGTTTTTGCTGCAAGAGGGGAGCCCTTTAGCTTTTCCATTATCTTATCTCCTGTCTCAAGTAAGAAATGTTTATCCCTTGCACATTCTTCATCGCCAAAGACAAATGCAAGAAATAACTTCCTAAACTCTTCATATTCTAAACCATTCAGTTCTATTGATTGGCCAGTTGTTTTAACCTTTTGTGCTATTGCTTGAAACCGAGTTGTGACTAGAATCATGCACCCCCTTTCTTCTGATTGATTGAGTGTCGACAATAATTTTTTCCAGTCATCACCATTACTAATCCGCCATATATCATCCAATACAAGTAAGAACCTTTTATATTTTAATCTTTGTTCAATCAAATCTTCTGTTGTACTACCCTCCTTTTCCATTCCAACTTGAGGTGTACATGTTTTAATCTGTTCTAGCACCTTATCTAGATTGAAATTGAGCGATACACATATCCAAATCATGACTGAAAAATGATTCTGCACTTGCTGGTTGCGATATATGTGTTTTATAAGAGTTGTCTTGCCCATACCCCCTGGACCCACAACCGGCAGCACAGTTAGACCCTTGTCATAGTATTGACCCTCGGTGATATCATGTATGATGCTATTCATGACATGGTCCCTCCCATACAGTTTTGGCTCATCAATTCTACTTTTGGTGATAGGACGGCTCAGGGCAATGTCTGGGACAGTTCTAGGGCCACAATGTATCAGAATCTTGCTAACCTCATTGCGCATAAGTTGCAATTTCTCTACAATGTCCTTCATCCTTTGAGAGAAATAAACCCTATTAAACTCAAGCTTTGGTGTTTCTTGCACATTGCCACAATCATCATCACTATGATAGTCGTCATCACTGCCACGATCATCATCACGAACATGTGGATGCGGGGAAGACGAGCAAGTGAGGAGTTTACCGATCTTGGGCATGCATCCGCTAAGCTCCTGATTGGTGTCTGGGGCCGAGGAGTCGCTGTGTGACCTCTGCCGAGGCTTAGCACAGTTGACCAGTTTGCCAAAAGCTTTGGCGGTGTGGCGAGCATTGAAGGCAAGGTTGTGGAAGCAACCCTTGTCGTGCTCGCCTGCAGCATCGTGGGTGCCGTGGAGCTCATCGTGGATGCGGAAGTAGTCGAGCTCATCTAACAAGTCTTCAGCATTTTGCGCCGAGTCACGCAGCTTGTGCAACAACATCTCCATGGCCGGCCCGCCGAGCTCCTTGCGTCCAGCTTGTTCGAGCGTGGCCTTCACCAGCATCAGTTCCATGCGAGTAAATTGCAGAAAACCACCAGTTTGAGGGCTAGGTTAGCAGAAACCACTACGTTACAGTTTCTTGGCAAAAAACACCAACTCTCCCGTAAACAATTTGCAAATACCACTGATCAGCGGATCGGACACCGATAAGTGGATTTATGACAGGTGGGGCCCGGTTTTTGCCGACGTGGCGCTGTCAGCTGGTCCGACAGCTGTTAGACGCCGTTAGACGGCGCTCCTGCACGTGAACTTAAGTGATTCACTCCTCTGTCTCTCACTCTCACTCTCACTTTGCTCTCGCACGCTCTCGCTCTCGCTCTGTTCTTGCTCGCCGCTTCCAGCCGCTCCGCGTCGCGCCGCCGTTGCCGCATCGTCATGGTGTCCTGGAGTGAAAGCGACGACAGCAGCGAGCACACTAGGCAGTACATCAGCTCTGATTCTGACGACGGCAGAGTGCAGGTATGCATTTGGGGATATTTTCCTAGGGTTAGGGTTAGAGTTTGTTCTATGATTTGGGGATATTTTTCTCAAAGAGCTTGTGTGTTAGCTGATGAAATGTTATGCATTTCTTTGGACTCCCAGGTCCCTGCTTCAACTGAGTACTCCGATTTCGAGGGCCCTGAAGATGAAATGCAGGTTTTGTGCAATCACGGGAAGTTAGCAGAGAGGCGCGTTGCTTTTGAAGGAATTCTAACTGGGAGGAGGTTTCTCTGTTGCGCTGAGAAGGTATATGCTTCTAAGTGAGAGCACAATCATTGTGAGGATTTGGCCATTGTTTATTTATTATTAAGTTGGGAGACTGTTGAGGCAGTCATTGTTTACTCTTAGGAGAGTGTTGAGTCAGTCATTGTTTACTCTGGCAACAATGTTAATTAGATTAAAGTACAATGGATGCATGGGATAGTTTATTCCTAATAGCAGCACATCCATCATTGTATAATTGAGAGCAGAACATCAGTGCTTTCTTCTTGAAATATAATATCTTTAGCTTTGGTTGTGATGAAAGGTTTTAATATGGTTTTGAATACTACCTTATTTTAGGAAGGTAGAGACTGTGGACTAGTTAAATGGATTGATCCTGCTTGGCCCAATACCCTTGAGAATGCATTGCACAAGTTATGGTTGATGTATGAAGACAACAAGAGACAGAGGGCTGAGGACACTCTGATGAATTCTTTTGAAGTTCATAACCTGACACAAGAGAAGAAAAAGTTGCAGGCCAGCTATGATAAGCTGGTTGAAGATGTCAATGCACTTGTGGATGCCCAGCAACGTAGGGTAGAGACAGAAAATACAGATGCTGATACCAAGAAGTTGGAGGAGAAGTATGAGATGGTGAAGAACCTGGCAGCTGCTCAGGCCAGTGTCATTAGGAACATGAAGCTCAAGCTAGCTGAAGAGAGGAAGAACTTACAAATCCAAATTGATGAGCTGCAGAAGAGTGTTGAAGAGAGCAATGTGAAGCTGCATGAGAGCAATGTGAAGCTGCAGGAGAGCAATTTGAAGCTGCAGGGGATCAAGGCCATCCTAAATGAATGATCACCTGACTGTGGAAGAGGGCACTATCATTTGGCATTTTCTTACCTTTTGTAGGGTGTGGTTAGCT